CCAAGCCCATCGGCTCTGCCCTCATTAGTGGAGGGTCATCTGCTGGCAGGAACAGGCTGTGCTGCGCAGAGCTGGTAGCTCAGCAGAGCAGCACCCGGGCTGGGCGATGGTTAACCAGTGACAATGAGGTCGCCACCATGGCCACACATATGCCAGGACCCCCGTCACCCACCCCAGGTCCCCAGACCCATGGCCCAGCACCCCCTCCACCCCTAGCTCCCGGTGATGGGGTCCACATGGGGCTCACCAGGTAGGCGATGACATCATAGCCCTGCTCCTTCAGCCACACCAGGATGCAGGAGGTGTCAAGGCCCCCACTGTAGGCGAGGACCACCGTACCCTTGGGCTGAGCCATGGCACTGGCACACCCACCCCAGGTCCCCAGACCCATGGCCCAGCACCCCCTCCACCCCTAGCTCCCGGTGATGGGGTCCACATGGGGCTCACCAGGTAGGCGATGACATCATAGCCCTGCTCCTTCAGCCACACCAGGATGCAGGAGGTGTCAAGGCCCCCACTGTAGGCGAGGACCACCGTACCCTTGGGCTGAGCCATGGCACTGGCAAAACAAAGGGAAAAGGGTTCACGATGGCCCCAACACCTGTACTGAACATCATCCTGCTGTTGCTCAGCACAGGCATGCTGCACCCGTCAGCCATGAAACCCTCTCTGGTGTCCCCAGAACCAGCCACGGGGCCGTCACGGTCCAGCTGCGTGCTGAGGGCAGTGAGAGGGTCTCCTGGAGATGGGGTGTTGTGGGCAACACACACAGATTGTCCAGGGGATGAATAACCAGGAAGTAAGAAGCAAAGCCCACGACAAAACAAACCCTTGGGGCCAGAAGCAGCTTGGGGAGGTGGAGGAGCACGTGGTGGAGCCACCGGTGCTGGGACAAACTCTCTGATTCAAACATGGACTCTCAGGATTGCTCTCGATCACAGGCACTGAGAGCTGCTGCTATTGCCCATGGGCCCCCCTCCTCCCCTGCTGGGAGCACCCGGCTGGGGGCAGCGAGCAGCAGGCAGCGCAGGAGGAGACTCCCCACTGCATCAGGAGGGATCAGTTGGACCAAGAGCCCTCCCGGGGCTGCAGGAGCAGGAGGGAGGGCTGGGGCAA